CGGGATTTTGAATCACCAATCAACGACATCAACAAACAAAATGATTAGATTGGATTGTGTTGGTGAAATTTCGTCGTGAAAATATTTTAATCGTTGCAGTGCTTCACATCGGGCATTGCATCATCGCATATGTGCCTCGAATGGTATGGGAATGACCGAAAGTGGTCAACAAATAACTATTTGTATTTTGTGCGAACTTTCATTGAGAAAATCGGCCAATTTTCTGTTTTTTAAAACTGTACACCATCGTCAACGTAGTCGGTATTTCTTTTTGCATTCAAATTGGATTGAAAAAAAAACGGTTGAATATCGTGTGCATGTGTGTTGCCTTAGGATAATAAACGGCCACGTTGACGTTGGTGATAAGTATGCCAAAGCACGAAACGAATGATCGGTCTCTGATTTGTTGGTTCAGAAAATGGATACATTTCGATGTTAATTCGTCTTTTTCTCTCTATAACTTTCGTCACCGTTTTCGTTTTACTGCAAAAATAATTGAATATCTGTGTGTCGCCAAGGTAATGAAGAAAATGTGGCGATAATTTGTTTCATAATGACAAATGAATGGTATTTGCACATAATTGATTTGACCCACCACCATTTAGTATGTCTCGACCCGAGCACAACACACTCGTGCACTCGCATTCTGAGCCGAAAACTATCGCTCTGTTCATTCCCAAAGCTACTACGGTGTCTAGTCGGTGCAAACAGTATTGCAACGGCAGTTTAAAGTCTGGAATTTTCAAATCAGCTTCGAACTTGCCCTTTGCAGCCATAAAATGTAGGTTGACTCTGAAATCGCCTTTCCCGAAAACAAAACAAAACGAAACACTATATGGCCATATTCTAGATCGATTGCATCTGATCGTGCGTCATTGCTGCATGACATCGGCAGAAACAACAACAACAACAACGCAGAAAAAGAAAAATAAAAACAATCCAATAAGCACTCATTCGAATTGTCTTTCGTCCAATTCGCATTCTCACATTCGCCAATTTTCCAAGTGCGCTGCAGAACCGCAACAACGACGACGACATCGACAACAGAAAAAATTAGGTCTCTCCGTTCAAGCGACGTTTTTTTCTTTCTTCCTTTCATTCTTCTCCTTCTTCTGATTTTTGTGTGGTATTCTTCTTTCCATTCGGCCGAAAAGAATGGATAAGAAAAGAAGTACGTCAAAAAACCGCACACACAGATACACACACACTCACAGAAAATACCTTCTCTGTGACTTTCCTTTTCTACTGTTCAATGCACATGACCGAAGCACGGTGTATGGTTTTTCACCGCTTGTAAAAGCGAGTTTGTAGATTTTTATCAATCGCAAAAATGCCGTGTTGATTTGTTTTCTTCTTTTCTTCATTTTCCCTCGGTGTATATTCAATAAAGGAATGTGTTTAATGTTCTGCCACGATTTGTGAATGGTCGCGGAGATCGTGTACTTTGAACGACCCAGAATAACAAATTGTTTGTCTCTGTCTCTCTCCCTCCCCGAATGTGTGTGTTTTTTTTTCTTCTTTCCCTTTGTCATCAAATGGAAAAACCGTCTTTATTTCTTTCTTTGTTGGTCTTTTGTGAGAAATGAAGCCGTCGTCTCGTTATCGATTGATGATTTTTCCACTTGGCACTGGCATATTTGTCTTGTATGATATTTAGCATATATGCTGTTTGTTTGTTTTCTTTCGGAATGGCATGCGAAATTGAAATGGCAGCGCATTCGCACCTCCTGATCATCATCCGGACGTGCGTTCGATTTGCGCGACCGACATATGGTTGCTCCAACCCACGATCGCGACATGATTATGAAACTCACTGACAAAAAAAATACACAACGGCAACAACAACGACAACTTCTAATAGTGAAATACACAACTATTTCACATACGTTGCGATCGTGCAAGCACTAGTGGCAGTAGCAATAGCAGCGGTAGCTCATTTACATGGGCTACGCTCCTATCGGTTGGAAAAAAAATGGAAAAAACCCTTCAAATCAACCGCTGTGTTTGACTTTTGACACATTTTATGCCACATTGCAACTGCATGCGTGTGCTGTGCATTCTAGATAAAAGAAAAAAAGCAACAACAATTATCTACCACGCCGTCTATTTTGTGTCGAGTTGGGACACACTTTCCATTCCCGAAACATCAACGGCTCTCTCTCCTTAACACTCTTTTTCTCGCTCTTTTCGCCTCTTTCGCTCGTATGATGTTTTGAAATGAAATGAAAAACTATCAGCGCGACGCTTATGTCTCGATGATAAAAACGAATTCTTTGTCTAATTTTCGAATAAAAGCCGAAATATGCTGTTGCCACCGCTGCTGCTGCTGCTGTGCTATGCAAATTCTATGCTGAGCTGTTGCGTGTGTGTCGTTTTTGTTTCGTTCCATTTCGTTTCATGTGTCGTTGCATTCAACGACTTGATTTTGGTCAACGCACTACGCATACATAACTGTAGTTTGTGGATTGTGGTATTCGACTTAAATAGATAACGCACGATTCACCATCACATTCTCTCTCTCTCACACACACACACACACATACACATTCATTTCGCTCCTAACTTCTATTCGACTGTTGTTTTTTTCCTTCTGTATATAATTTTTATTTTATTTTATTTTCTGTTACATTCATCGTCGATGTTTGTTCGTTCGATGTATGTGTCTCGCTCTCGCTCTCATTCGCTCACATTCACTCTCTTTCACTCGACAAAGCGACTTGACTAAATTGCATGGTTGTGATCGCAACAGAAACAATTTTATATATTTACGTTCATTGCTTTTCTTTTTTTAAACGGTTGGAGACGATTTGCAATTCACTACTTTCATCCACACTTCGAATATGTATTTGCAAATGGGAAATGCGCGTTTTTGTCGACTTCTTCTTCTTTAATGCCGATCGTGTTCGAAATGTTCGATCCGAAGAGATTGCCCTTTTTATCATTTTACACGTGGAGAGATGTGTGTTCACTGTGTGACTCTCCTTTCATTGGTTGAGCCCCATGTTTTTTCGCTTATTTTTTTTCTCTTTCATATTATTGCATTGACATTTCACCAGCAGCAACAATTTTCTTTTGTTCAAAACTTATTGAATAAAAATTGGTTCTTGCAATGTGTGCGTGTCGTTTTCTCTCTCTCTCTCTCTCTCACTCTCTTCCAATTCATCATCTTCATTGAAAATCTAGTCGACTTGATAATTAACATAGTTCACGTTGCCCATGCCGATAGACGTGATAAAAATGTGTGTTCATGTGTCATTTCAATATACACACTACAACTGACATGAACACGGATTTCGATGAAAATATTTTACAATACCAGATAGTAATAGCAAGAGAGGGAAAAAAAGACAGATTTTTTTTATATAGAAATTTAATTCAATTTACTTGAACGATATGCGGCAATTCTTTTTTCACCAATTGCACAGAAAAAAAAACACGTATTTATTTTCGTGTCTCCAAAATTACGACAGAGAAGAATGTATATATTCTTTTTTTTAAATAGTCTTCGTTTTTCCAACTGGATTTTTTTAATCTTTCTCTTTTATTTCTGTATGAAATGATGTTATTGTCACTTCTAAGTCTATTTTTATATGTCGTGTAACAAATTAGCACACACCAAAAAAAAAATCCGAAGAAACGAATTAATTTTCTTTATAAAAAAAATTAATATATATATTTTTTATATATACTACAAAAAAAAAATTATAAATTTTTTCGTGTTAGCAAGTTAACGCGTAGCGCGTGTACAGTCACTGTACTAACCTCTAGTTAACTTTTTTATGTTTGATTTGACAACATTCAGGAATTGGATTTGTGAACTGTGTGTTGCGAACCACATTCACAAAAAAAGAGAGAAGAGAATCGCTCACTGACTCGCTCGCTCATTCTCGCTGTCTCTCTTTCTCTCTACTTCATTCTCATTCATTTGTTCGTTGGTTGGTTCGGTGTGTTGTTGGGCCAATTGTGAATAGTGGCCCCGTATGCTCTCTCGGGCCTCTTGTTGCCTTTGGTGAGCTGTGTGCCACTGTATTTGTGCCTGTGTGTGAACAACGACACACAATGTATTTCTATAGAGGAGCCGAACACACTGAAGACTTTGGTGATCATTCTTTTTTTTGCTTCGTTCAATTCATATGACATTTTCAATGTGTGTTCCGTTTTAATGCCATCGAGCGCGCGCGTTGGCTCGCCTCGCTTACAAATCTCACCAATTTATTCATCTATGGCATTTTACTGATCATATACATACTATTTCATGTGTTGTTTTTTTTCCTCTTCGAATGTACATTTACGGTTGGGCCAGGCCTTTCGTTTGTATTGCGATGATGTGGTTTTTAAACGGCAGCAAGTACTGATATTTTTCTTCATATACGTGTAATTGATTCGATTGTGAAACGTTACAACAATTGATCAAGAAAGATGATCGAAAGAGACAGACGGATGGGGCGAAGAAGAAGAAGAAGTAGCAGCAGCAGCGCTGCGCAAAGTAGTAAGCAGCTCATCTGACAGTCTGAATTCATTGAATGCCAGACTTGTCGTAAGCATGTCTCTTTTAATCATTCGGCGATGAGCGAGCGACACGTGCGCCATTCCTTTTATTTTGAATAATTCTCATTTGACAATTTCAACTTGTTTCATTGTCAAACGTCATCGATTCCATTCGAATGACAGACTTTCAATGCACTTAGAAATGCTTATTTGCTATCATGCACATCTGAGCAAAATCTTATTCGAACATTAAAAAAAACATGAGAATAAAACTCAAATCCAATTTTTCGTTTTTAAATATTTGTTGTATTGCATTTATTTAAATTTGAATAAAATCTTTCCTCCAACAAAATAGTACAATTCTTAACAGCAAAGTATGAAATGAACGTTGCGACAACGTTTTTGTTTCGTTTTATTTATTTGTTTCCTCTAATTTTTTTTTATTCGGTTAAAATTCATAATTTTCTCTTACTCGCCTCTCTGTTTCAAACAAAACCAACGAAAAAAAATAATTTATAATTCAATAATTTTATGTGCAATTTAATTCATAAAGAATGTTTACAGTTTCTGTGGTGTTGGTTTAGGTTTGTGTATGTGTTTCTATTTTTCTTTGTTCTGGCGGGGAGGGGTGTAACAAATAAGGCAAGTTCTGTTCAATTGCTTCAATTGATGTGGAGCCATCGAAAATAGAATATAATTTCTTTCTTTTTTTTCATTTCGTCCATAAATTTTTCTTTCGAATCAGCGTTTCAGGCGCACATTTCAACGGCTTTGCCCAATATATATGATAATGCCATATATCAAATTATCGATAATGCAGTTGAATTCAAGAAACAAAATTTGAACAAAACAACAATCACTTTACATCACAAATCACCTAACAAAAAGGCCAAACGATTTTCTTTCTGGAATGGTACATGAATTGTTGGTTTTTCTTCTCCATTCCAACTGAGTTTGAGCCAATAACAATCCTGAAAATATTCCTGATTCGGAGATCTGGCTCTCCTCTCTCTCTCTCTCTCTCTCTCTCTCTCTCTCTCTCTCTCTTACACACAAACACATACGCCTAACCCATCTCTCAGTCACTATTCAATTCTTAGCTAGTCACGCAGTTTCGTACAGATCTTCTGTTCGTTTCTTTTCGTTTTTTTTGTTTAGTAAATTTTCTATCACAGGTAATCATTTGTTAAGAGTTTGTAATATTTTTGTTTTTATATGGCGCTCTCACTTCATATTGGTTACGCGAATTTATGCTGAGAAAAAGAAAATAAGAGAAATACTGACAGCCGATACGGAATATCGGGCTATTTGCCGAGCGCAAAGTCAGAGAAATAGATTCGGTTTCGAAAAACTGAGCAAAGATTTCTGATTGGTTGTTTTAGTTTTTGTTTTTTTTACACATCCATGATGTTAAATACCAACTCTAAACTAATCGTTTGATCCAATTGCAAGTTGGTCGCTTGCCGATGCAGAGTCGGTATCAATTCATTGTCCAGTGCATTCATGTAGAGCGGTGCTAATTTATCATAGTTTGAGCCAGCCTCATAGCACACTTGATCCTGATCAAGTGTGGCTCGAATAGCCAACTTGGTCATACCATTCGTTGATAAAAGATCCAAAAAAGAAACCAGCGCCATGCTTGCACTTCTCGCTATTTGCTCCGACAATTTTGACATGTCGATAGGGTCTTTGCCATGTGCGGATTCATCGTCCGACTAAAAATATTGAAACATAATTGGAATTTTATTGTCACGCTTTTTTTTGCTGGAGGAAGCAGACAAATTCAATAATTTATTCGTTCGAGACAATTTTTCTTTATCTCATTTTACCTTCAAAATAAAGACCTCTGTCCAACGAATAATATGATTGGAATTGGCGAAATCCAAACCATGATGAACTCTTATGCTTGGTATTCCATCCATCGGTTTCTTATCAATCGGCGAAATGACCCTGAAATTTTTCGTTTTGAGAAAATTGTATTATCTTTCATTCTATGACAAAGCGATTGTTCTACTTTTTGTTCGTTATGATGTTTCGTATTTTTTTTTTTCAAATATTTTTTCTTTGTTCGAATTCAAAATTGACAATGGTGACGACGAAAATCTAAGGAGTGCAATGAATTATTTGATATTTACCCGACATTAAAGTTCGTATCGTTCTCGACCCATTGTATGCACACTAGTTCCGTTTGCGATTCATCACCATTGACGGGGCCGCAAACAATGTCGATGTCTTTCATTGTTTTCAGTGCTTGTTGAATAGCTACCATTTTTTTCGGAAGAATTTGCACCATTAGCCCATCTTCAACAATGCTACACTTTCCCGACAGACCGGATGTTGTCTTCAGTGCGCCGTTTAATACAAGAAAACTGGCGCCAGTTACTGCAAAAGTAGATAAAATGAAAGAGTTTCACGAAGAAAAAAAACTCAACGAAAAGGAGTTTCACTAAAATGATCTTCAACCGACAAATAAACTGCTGCTGTAAAATTTCTATTTAATTTCGAAAATGTGCACAAACCTTTTCTCGGCTTTCCCTGTATGTTGATCGCTTGTGTTGAGTAGGCATGGGTTTCAGCGCAACCTGATTCCGTGTTTTGTACACAAACCTATTTAAACCACATATAAACGTTATTTTAGAAATGAATCATGCAAAATAAATTGTATGGGAATGAAAAAAAAAAAATTTGAGCAGCCTCACCAAATGCCCATCAGCCAATTCCGAGAAATTTGCAGCCAATGCAAAGATGTGATCGCTTGAGTTGTTCAATGCTTTCATTACTTGATCGTAACGATTCCGTGGAATGAGCACATTTGTGCGTCGATCTTCGCACATGTGAATGTACATGCCACGAATGGTCGGTATTGTATAGGAATATGTTCGAAAATCGGCCAAAAAATTGATAATCGTTTGAGCAATTTCCGCATAAACGGAATTACGACCGCGCACGCTCACATGCGGTGATGGATAGTATCGGTGTAAGGCACCCAGACGTAGCATCAAACGCAATGGGAATATTTTCGCCCACGGCACTTCCCATCGATGGATTAGAATGCCAATTAGGTATGGATTCTCGGGTATTATTATATTTTGCATGCATTGAAATGAAGTTCGAATGAATAAGAAGCCGCCGTGCTCCTTTGATCCCAAGAATGGCGTCGAACCAGCCATTGAAAAGCCCAATTCGGTTATTGCTTGACCTGAAGATATTTGTTTTTTGATTGAACAAAAAATAAAGCGAAAATTGATTTTTACAAGAGTTTGAAACAAATATGATCAAGCAGTCTTAGACTCACCTTTGTCGGCATCCCTGTATATTTCATTTAAATGAAGAAAAATGTCTTTCGGTAATTGATTCGATGAGTCCAATTCCAGCAAAATAACAATTTCATCTTGTCCCACCAGATGCATTCCCTGCGTTGTGAAATTAATCACAGCCTTATTGATGCAACACGTTACTGAAATAAAAAATATAGGGATCATGCAACTTTAGGTAGAAAATGAAACTCTCAAAATAAAACTTACATTTGACTATTTTGACTAAAACATAGAAATTTCGTTGTATCATAAATTTAAGCTGTTGATTTTGTAGGCGCTCGATGAGCTGCTCGTTATTATTCACTTCGGCATATTTGAATTCGGTTCGTGTTGATACACAAATCGGCGGCAATTTGCTATCGGGGATACCACCGTTTGTTGGTGTTGATGCTGGAATATACGAATTGGTTTTTGGATCGAGAGATGGCAATTTCAAATTGGTGCTGGTCTTTGATTTCGATGATTGCTTTGGCTCGGATCCAGATGGCGATGAGACACCTTTTTTTAACGAAAAAAAGATTAAAAAGATTAGAAATTAATCAATTCAATTCAGACTGAAAGTTATTGGATTTTTTCTCTCGAAAACTGATTTCGATTCAAATCAAATTGGACATTAGCATGTTTTAATTGAAAACATATGGCAATAGGGGATTAACCAATAAAATATTAATTTAGCGATATTTTCTACGATTTTATTGTTTATTTAAAATTGTGACTTTTGTTTTTATCATGAGTAATGGGAGGGAAACTCCATATTCTAAAATCAATTTTATCAAAATCGATTAAAATTTACCATTTCGGTTGTTGGGTCGTGAGTCCCAGCTATTGTCTAAGTCGGTCAAATCGCAGCCGGGTCGAATGCCATCGCTGAACATGACATTTTTCTCTTTGCGTTGGGATTTGGGTGGAACACCTTCGCGTTTCAACACACCAACGGGAACCATTACTGAAATCGGGGCCGCTGCCGACGAAGTGACCTGCTGATGTGGTGGAATGACTGAACAATATTCCATTGGATTGTTGGGGTTTGGTGAGCGTGCCATTGGTGAAGGCATATCTTCGTATGGTGAATTTATACCAGCCGAAGGATCCACCTCAGCTGACGCCGCCTCATTCATCTGACGATTGCCTAAATTCTGCAGAAATTGAAACATTCCAACATTAATTTTAACGCTTCTTGTTCTAATCATTTTAATATTGTGCTGGTTAACTTACACGATTCGAATCCCTGTTTTGGTTCAGTAAAATATCACATTGTACACAAATTCGAGCTTCAACGTCACCAAGGTATTCCAATTTGGCTTTCAGCGAACAACAGGCCGAACAAAGGACTAGGCCACAGGCTCTACAATGATGCCGCCGTTTGATGAACGAAAACTTTTGATTGCACTGCATACAAAATACGGTCATATTATCAGGCACCCAGTATGGTGCCATTTTACCAATTTGATGAATGGAAATGTTCGCTGCATTCGGATGCGCTGTCATTGACTGGTCCGCATAATTCTAATGATAAAATGACACGGAATAGACTTTGAATTCAGAATAAATTTTCGCCTTTTCTTTCGTTTTTTACCATTCAATTCAAATTAATAAACAAACATTGGAATCAAAAATTACAATAGAGGCATTAGTTTCATAATAATGACTCATTATAAATGTCTCTCCAACCTACCTCACTAGCATTCGACTCATTTGCTGATTCACTATCTATGTTTGATTGACTGTTTTCCATTTGGTGCTGAAGGGCAGATCGAAAAAAAACCGGTTATTTCATCACATGAACAACATAATTTTTTCCGAAGAAAAAAGAATCAATGTCAAGCAATTTCCTACTTACAATCATTTGATTATTGTCGTTTGCAATATTGGAATCATCCGAAGAGATGGACGATGACAAAAATTGTCCGCATGCGGCTGGTGTGTTGCCGGCATTTTCATCGTTGGAAAAATTGGTCGCAGAATTCGATGGGTTTTGTTGTGATTGTTGTTGATCGACCAGCGTTGTGTTGCAATTCTGTAAGTTCAGGGAATTTGGTCGTTTTGCAACACCGGCTGCTTGTTGATCGAGCTCACATTCCGAGCATTCATTATGTTGTTCTAGGTCTGACGAGATTTCTCTTTCGCCTCCATCGTCTTCCAATTCGCTGGTGCTTTCGTTTTGTGGATTAGCTTCCGCTTGATTATCGCCCTGATTTTCGCTCATTTCAACGGTTGATTCGGCATCCACAACCGAATCGATACTTTCCATCACCGGTTCAATGTGTTGTACCGATTCCAATTGATCGGTATTCACGTTGGGTAGCTGCTCATTGCCGGAAATGGCATTGACTTCACCAAATTCAACAGTTGATGCCTGTGAAAAGCTGTCTGCATTGCGATCATCTCTTGATGCAATTTGATTCAATTCACCGACATGTTCAATCGAATGATCCACACTGTAAATATTGCCATCATTTACATACGGTTCAATACCCTCCGATTTCATCGAATCAATGGCACTTTTCATTGAATCACTCTTCGGCCTAACGACAAGCATTGGATTGTCTTCCAAATCTTCCAATTCTTGCAAATAGCTCTCCAATTCCGTGTCAGAAACGTCATCCATTGTTGCAGCCGTTTCAAAAGTGATCGGCTTTATAAAGCGATCATTCGATGTATTTTTCTCGGCATCAATCGCTTGATTTGCTGCAACATTTGCATTTTTCGTCACATTCGCTGCACGGCCTTCGTCTTTGTTTTCTACTTGATTAATGAATTCTTTGGCTAAAATTTCACTAGACTCACCATTGATGACATCGGGTAGCGCGGTATCGGTCTCATGTGATGCGGTTATTTCCAAAGATAGCGAAGTGGGTGGCACCACCGATGACAATTCCGTTCGAAATTCCACCGAATCGACCGTTCTCTCCCCACACGCTGGATCCGTGGTCTTTTCATCTCCCGTATCGCTTTCCGAATTATCTGATTCACTTGAAGTTAACTCGTTTTCCTCCTCCTCCTCCTCATCACCGTTTTCATCATCATCATGAACGGAACTCTCCGTTTCATTTGAATCGGCATGAATTTTACTAAAATCAGTTGAACCGGTGATAATTTTACTAGAATCCTGAACATTTTGGCATTCTTCGTATGAAGGAAGATCGGACGTTGGTATAAATTGATCTGAAGACGATGTTGATACGAATTGCTCTAGTTGATTTGATGGTTGAAATTGATCGGATCGCACCGGAACGAATAGATCTGCTTTCGAATGATCTTGTATCAATTGCTCGTGATTCGATTTTTCGGGATTACTCGTCAAGCTAATAGTTACTTGTGCAGGCCAAAAGTTTGCCTTGGGCAATGTTAACGGTCGCACTTCCTCTTCGGTTGGGAGTCCAGTATTGTCAATTGGTTGCACTTCTGTTGAAAATTTGCGACTATTCGATGCGGTCATTTCACCCGAATTATTTTCAACTAATTCATTTTTCCTACTAACAACAAAGCTTGAATTGGACGGCGTTACAAACGCCTCTTTTGAATTCAGTGTCATATGATGCGATGTTGCGTTTTCTTCCGGAATTTTCACCGTGTCAATGCCAGCATTCACATATTCATTCAAACTGAAAGAAGAAAGAGACACAACACTTTGGTGAAATATTGACAAAACAAACCTTCATGAAAGAAAAACAGACACATCCAGAACGAATCAATTCCAAGTGGGAGCTCGGTAAACAGCTGACGCGTTGTTTCTGTTTTCAAACACTTTTTTCCAATGTTACTTACCTATTAAATACGTTGGATACTTTGACGAAATTCGTTTTTGTGATACGATTTACGATGGGTGGTGGTGGCACAGCCGATGCCGAACTGGTCGTAGATACCGATGGCGCTGTTGGTCCGCTCGATATTTGTCCATACTTGTATGAGGCATACAGATCGGGCTGTTTGCTTTCATTGATCGCTGGAGATGACTTGTTCAACTTTGAATGTTGTTCTTCGTTGAGCTCAAGATCGTCCAAAACCTTATTGATATCAACGATATCCATCTTTTAGGTGCGGCGGCTGAACAGAGAAAAAAACCACAGTTCAAATGAGTTTTTAACTTTTCAACATCGAACACATTAAATCCAATGGGCCAACAATTAGTATGTAATCATTTTCACTAATAACAACTTCATTTCGTTGATTTTTCAATTAAACTTAATTGCAATTACGCGAACAATTCAATTAGGAAAAAAAACTGTAGAAAAAATTCGCGGTTTTTCTCTTGAAAATTGTGTGTGTGTAAATTTTCTCTTTCTTTTGAAGCGAGCGTGTCTTTTGTTATTGTTGGCGGAAAGTGAAATTGGCATTGACAGTAACTTTGGAAGTGAAATTGTAATGTCATTAAAAATGCAACAAAAACAAAGCTGCACGAAAACCACTTCCGATGACTGGAGTGAAATAGTAGAGCAAAAAGTGAATTTTAATGTTCCAAAACAGCAAAGCATGAATAAACATTAAAACATAAAACAATATTCACAAATTGCACAGTGGCGAAGAAGAAAAAACAAGACCGCAGAGCTTTGCTTCGCTCCGCTCTGCGTTCTTGAGTTTTTAGTTACTTAATCTATTTTGTTGTTTTACAACAAACTATTTTTTGGCGCACTACATGAAATGTATTTCATCAAAGTAACTTTGAAGTAATATATTTATTTGCAAAATGAATTACAAGATCTTGGTTTTATTTCTTTTTTGAAATATACTGCCTTTGGTTTAAATTAAATAAACTTTAATTCTGGTCAAGACTCAGAAAATATTATACGAAAAATTAATGTAATTTTTAAACAACATTTGATAATAGAAATTTGATTGGCGCTTTGAGATATTATGCACTTATTTGTCGTTACTGCCACTGTTTTAAATTGAATAAAAAATATGAGCATAAAATTCAAATTCACCATAATTTGTTTCAACACTCAAAAAGTATCTAGGAAAAAAAAGAGCAGATTAGTAGCTCTACATTTCATGTAGTGCTGAAAAACACAAATCAAACCGAAGTGCAGAAGAGAATTCCGGTTTGAAGCATGATAACCGTATCTATAAAGTGACACTTCGAAACAGGCCGATGAATTGGGGAAAAAATTCTGCCAGCCAAAAACAACTCTTTCTCTCGATTTCAATAATTCTATATCGTTTCGTTCATATTATGAAATAACACTTCCACTTACCTAAAGACGTGCATGAGCGACGATAGTTTCGAAAATAAAAAATTCGAATCGAATTTTTGTTTCTTTTGTTCGAAATCAAAATAAAGACAAATAACACACTCAACCAATTTATTTGTGTTTGGAAAATCACGTTTGACGTATTTCTCTTTTTTTGTCTTATTCACTACAGCTCCGGAACAAAATTTCATTTAATATGAATCATTCTACTATCTAATTACAAGCACAAAATCATATGAGACATACATATGCACGTATAATTTTTTCTCCTCAATACAAATTTAGTGTGTGTTGGTCTATTTGACGTTTTTTTTTTTGTTTGTTCATGCGTTATTTGTCAACAAAAAAGCAACAGCAGCAGCAGTAGATGTAGCAATAGCAACAACGACACACAAGGAGGCTATTTTGCACATTCCGTTTCACATAGATAATGAAACGAGTCGAGTAATTTGATTTGCAACTTATGTGACATACACACAATGAAAGAAAGAGAACGGAGAGCAAGGGAATTGTGTGACTCCGATTTCGTTCAGCCTTCGTTCGGTAAAACAACAATTGTCTTTTTCTTGTGTAGTACACTTGTTTACTCTTTGACGAACGGAAAAAATATAGCCAAAAATGTTTTATGAATGAACACTGAAAATTGCGCCCGATTTATTTTCTAATCAATTTAGAACACCAGCAATTTGAAAAATGGAGAAAAAATTCAACGAAATTCTCTTTGTTCGGATTTCCTGTATTGTTTACTTTTTGCGTTAGATGGTCGACACACACAATCCTCAATGGATATTTCAATACGTCGTGTTTATCACGTTTAATTATCGCACCGTTTTTTGTTTTTCGTTCGTTCGTTCGGTTCGTTTCGTTTTCTTCAATTTGTTACAATGGTTTCTATTTCTTGTTCGATTTGTTCCGCGACACTTATTCCCCCATTCGATCGCACATTGATTTCACCAAATCAACTTCTTTTCAATGAAATTGCATTCTTCGTTTCATTTGGCCGAAAAAAGAAACCAAAAATAAGAAGTTTAAAGGAAAATACACTGTATGTATTGAAATGTCAAAGTCTTCTTTTTCCCTACTTCTTCTTCTTATTCTTCTTCTCCGTTTATTTTGCTCTTTCGTGCTCTATGACTTATCTCTATCTCACACACGATCTCATACAATTGCACATTTGGCACAACTGAATAACACCGAATCGAACAATGTCTTTGGGGTGCGTTCAACATACGTCAACTTATACGTTCTGCATCTCAATTCACTGGCGTTTTGAATATGATTTTAGAATTATTCCTGTTTCTCCATTAAACTGTAAATATTGAAATTGGTTGCATATTGGTTTTTAGGGATATTTGTGTTGCATAGAATTTTATTTCTGTACATTTCGTCAACACTCTTTTCATACATCAATCAATCTAAACTACAAGATTTGAAAATAGAATTGAATAAGAATTGACATTTTTTTTCTATTATTGAATCGATGAATTAGATTTCAATGAATTTAACTGATTTTATCAAATAATTGTCATTTTTCTCCGAAATTAAATGATTTACCGAAAATACAGTTTTTTTTTATTTTTAAGACTTTTTTTTTACTGTGCAACAATGAATGAAACTTAGAGAGAAATTGTATGAGACATTTGAAAAAAATAAGTAAATGATTGGAATCATAAACTGAAACGTAGTCTGAAACTTAGTCTGAAACTATTTATGGTGATTTTTTTCAGATTTTAATCTGAATTTTATTGAAAGATAGAAAATCATGAAGAGTTTTTGTAAGATTTAGCTTAATATTAAGTGGTTTTTGCATTTTATTTCATTTAAATTGGTTTGGAATCGAATTCATTTGAAAATTTTATTTACAAATTGAAATGAAACAATTTCTGAGTAAAATGGAAAACCAATATTTTTAAATAAAATCGAGAATTTTTCTAAATTAATGAAAGATATTAATTTGAAAATAATTAATTTGTAATGAAATTCAACGTTTAAAAAAAAATCTTTGAAAAATTTCTTTAAATTTAACGAAAAAGCTGGAATTTTTTGTCAAGAGAAAAAAGACCCTCATGAAGCCTGCAAAAAAAAAACTTTTGCGGGATGGCAACTATTTTAAACTAGAATTTTGAAAATGTTGCAAAAGCGAACAAACAAATGAAAGAGAAAAAGCACCATTGAACGTACAAAAAGTTGTATTGTTTTCAATTTGCAGCGAAACAGTGTCCACTACAAATACATATTAGTCATAAAAAAAGAAATGTTCAACGTGTGGCATAGTATTGAGCTGGTGGCGAATTCATTTGCAAAAACTAAATAACATACACACAGTAGCCGTGGCGAACTGAGGCGAATGTTCGCCCTCGAAATGTTGTGTGTACGAACGTTCAACTTTCCATTGAACTGGTTGGTAATGACGTTTCAAATAGTAAATCACAAGCGTGTGTCTGTATGTGTTTGTGTATATGTGCGGCGATGCGTGTGTATTGTGACGAATATTCATGCCAAACAGCGAGACGGAATAAAAAAAAGTACACATAGAGAAGACAGGCGAAGCGAAATCTAGGTAGAAAAAAAATAATAACGCCAATTGCATATGGCTGACATTTCACTTTGATACCCGCGATTCACTAAAAAGAGTTGATTACGTGAAGAAAAAAAAATAATAACAGTTTTTAGTTCGTTTTACAATCATATACATTGGAACCCGATTTAGTTTAATTCTTAGGCACGCATTTATAAATTTTCTTCAATTAGCTGCTCGTCAAGTGCACCAAAATATATCAACAGAGAGAGAGAGGGAGAGAGAGAGAGATAGGGAGAGAGAAAGAGAAAAAAATAGTTGAAAAGCAGCGAACAGCAGCAGCCGCAGCAGGAGGAGAAGCAGAAAAAACGACGAAAGAAAGAAAAGGAAAATACGAAAAAGAGAGTCTGCAGCTTAACTCATCATATCCAAACCAACCAATACTATAAATCGACACAATCGACAACTCAAGAACACCGTGGAAGCGATTGACCAAGCAAAAATTCATCAAGTAAATCACTTTCCATTTAATTCCATTTTTGGATCTATTTTTTTCTATTTTCCGTTGTTGCTCGTCTTCATTTTGTTACTAGTTTAAGAATTTACTCGATTTGATTCTGTGCCGTCGAAACGAAACGAACAAACGAACGAGCGAAAAAAAGAGAAATGACACGGCCGAAATTGTTTGTGTAATTATTTGTGCTGATTAGTTCAGTACCCCAGTTTAAAAAAGAAACACGAAAAAGTGGACAAGAACTCCAAGTGAATGAATTTGCATCGTAAATCGTTCACGTATCCAGAAAATGGATACTCACGTAATTACGTGGTAAAAAAAGTTTTTTTTTTGTTCGTGACCAAGAGAAAGAATTGATTTGAACCACAGTTGCTGCTGCCGTGGATTCCACATTCATTTTAAATTCACAAAAAAATAGCTAAGTGATTTTTCCATCTTCTTCGCTGCATTGATTTGACGTATCATCGAGATGTTATAAAGTTTTTTCGTTTCAAATCTCGTTCTATCGCTCTCTACAAGACGGACTCTACTCGGAGTTGAAGAGGAATATGAAAGAAAGCACAACAGAGAAATTGGATATCATTTTCAACGTCCGTTTTTTCCGCGCTATGCATTACGTGTGAACGAAAGTAAGAAACGAGCGACAGAAAGAATGAAAAAAAAGTTTGTCGTGAGCCAAATTTCATTGTCATCGAATTTTTGATGTTTGACAAACGATTAAACCGTAACGATTGTCCGAATAGGTGTCCGTAAAATTTTGGCTCCACACATAAGCAAGGGCAGCAGTGACGGTGACAACAGCAGTAGAAATAGCAACAATAATCTCTATCTGCACTAAAACCCCAATTTTTTTTTCTCTCCCAAGTACACACACTTTTGGCCTCTCTTTCGCACACTCTCAATTTCCTCATACTGGATGCACGCATATATGCAAACCTTCACCGATATAGGTATTACATATAGCGACATATATAGAACGTACATCAATTTCGTTCATTCTCTCCTTCTCACTCTCACTCGCTTACGGTCCCCGTGTGTACATTGGATGTGCACTGTGTGGTGTATACCATTGCACCAGTTCAAAGGAATGTGTGCTTTGTTATGCATCGCGCACATTCATACTACGAAATCTGGACCATAATCACTGCGATTTTCAAATATGTGCATTTTATCCAACCAAAAAGAAAAACAACAACAAAAAACAGGGACAATTTTTAACGCCATTCAAATGTTGATCGTTTTATGTCACTTCGTCATTAATTTCGACACCTTTTTCTAGTTGACCAATGTGTAAGATCAACTTTAGTCGAGCACAAAAACAAACAAACAAAACCACTTTGAACGATGACTGATTTTAAAAAATGTTCTTATCTCCTTTTATTTCGTTTATTTTCAGTTAAAACAGCAACAAAAGCACACATCCAGAGGCAAGAACTCACTATCAATGCGCACATCCACAAAAAGGTTGTAAACTTCATAACGAAAACTTCGATTGCCAGAAAAACCAATACCAAGCATAACAAAAGTCAGTCAATGAAAATAAAAACCAACAATCATTATATCAACTAAACGACAAAGAGATACAAACAACAACAACATCAAATACAAACAAATTGCACGTTAAAATCCCTCAACACACACACACAAGCACTCATTAAGTTGAAACCATTTCAAATTGTGAATTAGTTAAAATATTGCATTATAATTCGGACTCAACTAAACGAAAATTTATGAAAAAAAAAAATTGTGAGACAAGAAAAAACGACAAAAATTGACATTTAAATATAAAACATAAATTGAAACCAACACATACCCATTAAATTAAAAAAAAAATTACGTCTGACTGTGATAATAATTGAAAACAAAAGAGAAATTTAAAACAAAACGGTTGAAGAATAGTTTTACTTAAACAAAACAGAAAAAAAACAAAATAACAACAAAAAATCTACTTGTAAGTCGTTTTATTAGAACAACATAACATTTAAAACAAAAAACACGTACCGACAGTTTAGGAGTAGGTAATTATGTAAATACGCATAGAATCTAGTAATAGAATTTAATTTAAACAAGAGAGAGAGAGAGAGAGAGAGAGAAAAAGGAACACAAACATTTGAAGCCAACAGAAACCGAATTTGAATCACAAGAAAAAACAAAGCAACAACAACAAAAAAATTGCATGTGATTGCATGGACATTTTGTGAAGACTGTAATAGCAACCGATTTGAAGCCAATATTTTACGCACGCGAACTGAATGTTAATTAGTTCGCTGCGATTCCCAGTTTGGACTTGTCACATATTTTCTCTCGTCCAATCCGCGAACGAACGCATTTCGATACCCCAAGTTAAAACAAAAATTACTGACAAAAACACGAGACCCTCGCACTTAGTTATCTACGTACCTCATCGAGATTAGCCAACATTTTGTTACGGAAGCAAAACATAAAATCAAACACGTCTCAAAAACGGCTCATCATCTTGCAAACAAATCGATACCGTGTCTGAATTTGAAATAGTAAATCCCTGTGGATTTTTCGCAGAAAAAAGAGAGTGTGTGTGTGTATCGTGTGCGTGAATATAACGAAACTACGCTGCCGTCGCTCAAGTGATAATGGCAAATAGCGCCACAGGAAGCGAAAGGGATTTGTCGAATTCGAAGGAACAACTACTATCGACCTTAAGTCTGTCGGACACTGAAAACGGTATGCCTTTGGTTAATTTTTTTGTTGTTGTTCGATATCATTTCTGTAATGACATTCAATTTTCAATGAAAAATGCTAAAAAAACTAAACATTTTCGAATTTAAACCACCTTCTCCCCCAGATGAAGATCGTAAGTGGAGACACTCCAATGACTCCAAGTCAATTCGTCGCGCTGAACACAACGATCCGGCCATATTGAGCTATGGCGGATTTAGCCAACGATTTGTTGCATCGCAAGAAACGGTTGCATCGTCCCAAGACGCTACTTTATCGAAGAAAGAGCGTTCCGATTCACCCAATCTGTCCACATCGGAACCGGATGTACGCAGCATTTTGCGTTATTCACGCGAAAGTTTGCTCACGTTAAGAGATTGTGAACTAGCGAAGCGTAAACCCGTTTATTTGGGACGGGCATGGGTTCGTATTGGTGTTACGAGCGAAGAGCGCGAAAATCGTGGACGAGATGATAATGACAGTGCTTCGAACTATTCATCGAACACTTCTTTAGCGAATGCATCGTCATCGTCATACTTGTTGCCATCATTTGCATGCAAACGACGAATCCCAGGTAAATGCTTGCCAGAGGTTTTATACTCGATTTACTCTTGAAAATTTTTATTAAATCGACCCGATTTGAGACTTTATTGAAGAAAAAGAATCACTTCCATAATTTACTTTTTCTGTTTGAAAAGTGTCGAATATTGCATTTTCTAATATTCTACATTTGTTTTCGAATTTTAAAGGCTCTTCGCAATCATCGTCCAATACGGAGATAAAGCGGAATAGCGCGTTAACGCCCAAGAAAGAAGAATCTTCATCTTCGATTGCTGGCCGACGCAGTATATCGAACAGTAGAAATTCGAATAGCACTGAAGATGAAGATCCACGGCCAGGTGACCGATCTATGTTTGTTCGACGTCAAAAGTAAGTAGTGTTTTCACCTCTCTCAAGGAAATGTAATTTTTTGCATGTTTTCATTATATCATTATGGCTTAATGCCATAATGTCTATGCTGTGCGGTGCGGAAACAGCAATGTTTTTGTTTATACAAACAAAGTGTCATCGACAATTGACCCAATTTTCATGTATATTTAAAAAAAAAAAACAGTGAGTACCGAAATGCTAATGAAAGTCGTCGCATCGGTAGCGGACGAATTCCAATGCGAGACTCATGGGATGATCCAAAATATAGCCGACCCAATGCAAATGAATTCTCGTCAAAATCAAGCGGTGATCCATCGTCATCGCCAACCAACTCAGCATCATCAGCAACCACTTCAACAACCACTTCAACAAGTAAAACCGAACAGAGCAAACCAAGTGAATCTTCAAATGGTAGGCCAATGCAATTTATTTCGTTCAATCAATTTTGAAACGATTATTTTAAATGGCATTCTTAAGACTGGCTATAGCCGGAAATAAAGTTCGGAAGCAAAACATCATGGGAAGAATGAAATTCGAATTGTGCATTTTGTGAAAAGTTTCTCCAACAAAATATTGACCTCATTAAGTTCAAAAGCAAAAGAGAAAAAAAAAGTAAAATTTCAATTCGGTTTGTTTTCGTTGTGCAGATTTCAATCTTCGTCCAGGCGGTGGTCTGTTGGGTTTGCGCGATCGTCAACGTGAAAATGAGCAACAGCAAACGCAATCATCAATTGTAAGCCAGCCGCATGCGCATTTATCTCGAACCATTTTGGGCAATAACAGCATTTTGGACAAAGACAGTCGAAGTGATTTCCGCGAGCGTGGCGTTCTCGGCAGTGACGATCGATATGATCGAAATGATCGATTGGATCGAAACGATCGATTGGATCGAAACGATCGATTGGATCGAAATGACCGAATGGATCGAAACGACCGAAATGATCGAAACGATCGAAACGACCGTGGCGATAGAAATGATGAACGTCGTGGAGACCGTCGATCATTCAACCGTGACCGTGACTATGGACGGTAAGTTGGCAACGAAAATAATGATACGATATCGGTTAATTGATTAAAAACTAAGAGAATTAATTTATTGAACAATAAAATAATGAATGAAACATTGTTTACTCAACATAGATACAACGATGATATGCCTCGTAATTCAATGTCCCGATACAATCATGGCGATCGAATGAATTCGTATTCGCAGTATAGTTTTAGCAGCAACGACCATCGTGGTCGACGCCAGTATAATGATCGTAACGCTGAGGAGCCGGAATGGTTCAGCGGTGGTCCAACATCTCAAAATGATACGATCGAATTACGTGGTTTCGAAGAGTATACATCGGGCCGGCAAGATTCACCATCGTCACGTAATAGTGGTGATGCCGATGAGGACAAGGCAACGGTCGATTATGACAGCGATGGGGATAAAGCCAACGAAGAAAATGACAAATCAAATGATAACAATAATAATGACAACAAAAATGGTAGTGGCGGCAGTGGCGGCGATGAGGCCAGCAATCGTGATGCAAAAACGGAAAAATCGAGGGACTGTGAACCAGAAGATAGTGAAGTGGCGAAAGCCGAACCGAAAGCGAACAAAAAGGATGATAATTTCAACATTGAAGACTTTTTGAAAGTGGACAATTTAAACGATTTTCTAACGGTAAGTAAATTGAATTTGCATTTTGCATGGGGTTTGTAGATTGAAACACAAGCACACTAGCGCCGCAGTTTGCCCTACAATATCATATACGGCAAGCTACAGAACTATTCATTCAGTATATATCATGTAGCTCAACTGTCAATCTGTAATTCCCCTGGCATTTTGCTCAAACTGTTTCAATTTATCACATTTCATTTATTGGGATTTACGATGTAATTTAATGTGATTTCTGTGGTACAGGGTGGCGATTCATTCATCGAGAGTGGATCCGGTGAATCCAGATTTAGCCGTTGGTTCCGACCGAGCGCCGACGAACCGAAACCAAACCAAGCCGCGCCCGAAAAACCAGCCGAACCAAACCACAATGAGAATGGCGAGAAAAATATGTTTACGCCATTTTCAACGGATTCGGGCAATCCGAATGATACGAAAAACGAAAATACTTTTCTCGAATTTTTGCAACGTGGAAAATTTGCGGCAAATATGCAAAAGCCACCAGTTGGTATTTTGCAAATGATGATGGAGAACAACAATTTTCAACTACTGCAGCAACAAGATTTCCAACCACCACCACATCATCAGCATCAGCAACAGCAGCAGCAACAACAACAACAACAGCAGCAGCAGCAGCCAGCGGTGATGAGCAATCATGGACCACTCAGTGTCGAAGAATTGGAAGCTCGGCTACGCCAATCGGGACCACCAGCCGCTAACTCATCCAATAACATACCAAACGATGTGTCTAACATGAAAAACTCACAACAACAGGACATGATTGCATTTAAGAAACTGGTTAGTATTCGAAGAGTTATCGTTTCCTTATAACCACTAACAATACAAGGGCAAAAAATCAAGAGACCACAAAAATCTGCGTGAAAAATTGTTATTAATTCCTTTTCATTTCTTGTCTAGTTGCAGCAAATCAGTGGTGATCAACCACAGCCATCACCACCCCAACAACCGCATCAACAACCGGTAAATAGTCAAAATTCTCAATATCCGATCGATTTGATTTTTTATATTGGATCCGTTATGGTTTTGAATTTATTTCAGAAGATGTTCCCATTCGGGCCGGTCCCGCCCCAAAATCAGCAACCACGTCAATTAATGCCACATCCTGAAGCGATTAAGAAAATGCTTGCAGGTCATGGGCCGTTCCCCGTTCCACTCATCACTCCGCAGCAACGCATGGAGATTATCAAACGGCCCGAGACTCAAGTTTTGATTCAAAGTAATTGAAAAGCGATTTCATTTTTTGAAAATAGAAAAGAATTGAACCCATGAAATGCATCGAATTAAACACATGTTGTTCATGAAGTAAAAAATATGTACTAATATACGTGTGCGTTCCTTTTAGGACTGAGGAATGGCGAGTTGAGCCAAGGATTTTTGATTCAACAGTTGAACAATCCGCAAATAATTCAACGCGACCGTGAGGTATTGTTTGCGGTTCTGAGCTATTTCAATCCAGCCGCTCAACCATCACCACCGGAAAATACAATGCCACATCCAGTACCACATCCAAACGATGTAAGCTTCACAATCTTTTCTAACACTATCGCACGATAAATCACTCGAAACGTTATCGAAATATTCCTTTTTATCATTTCGACTTTTGTTTTCTTCTTCTCATCAATCGATTCTATATCGTATGGATTCCTCTATCATCCCAGTTACCGGTACCGAATGCAAATATGCCACCACCGCCGCCAAATATGCAGACGCCAAACAATGCAGCGCTCTCACCAGATATGCTCCGTCAATTGTATTTGCAGGCAGCTGTCACCGGATCCAAGCAACAATTGCGGATTTCACCCTTACCAAACGGTATTCCACAACGCATTCCTTCGCCACGTGAACTTCAATTCCATACGCAATCGATCATGCAAAATGCACTAATCAAAAAGAAACTTGAAGAGCAAAGGGAAAACTTCCGAAAACGTCAGGTTGGTTTTTAATTGTCCAGCGACTTAGCGTGTTCTTTGCATTGAATTGTTTTTCACTCTAATTGATGATTGGTTTTCGGTTGGCTTTCTATCACCAGGAGCAACAACAGCAACAGCAATCACACATGAATCCGAATCTCGCAAGCAACAGTAACGGGATTATTGAACACTTGCACGACGGCCCGATGAATAATCCGCAAATGAACCGAGGCGTTTCGCCCAACTCAAGTGCAGCTCTGAAGCAATTGAGCCAGAGTCAGCACACATCGTCACCAACGCCGACGCTTGCATTTACTCCAACATCCGTACTACGTAAAATGACGGCCGAAAAAGACATGGACAATTCAGCGAACGCAAGCAACATCAATAATAAAGACTTGAATAAGGTAGTGATTTTATTTTTGCACAACATTTTTTTTCATCATCATGTTTTGCAACAAATTTTAACTATTTTCGTGTGAAAACTTTTCGCATAGAAAATAATTTGTATTTATTTCAACATTTAAATATAATTGAGCAAAGCCTCGTGCGCTTAGTGAACAAATAATTACACATTCTATATCAATACAATATATTCATTTTATTCGCAGCAACAGACACCACAGCAGCAACTCCAACAGCAACAACAACACAACGTGTTCCGCATGCAACAAAATGTTCCCATGCAAACCATGCAAGGATTACCAATGCAAGGTATTCAAGCCATGCAAGGTATGGGCATGCAAGGCTTACAACAAAATAAATTCTTACCAATCCAACCAAATAACCAGCAACAGATTTTGGCTCAACAAAAAGGTAATGATAGAAGCGATTTCTGTTTTAGTTTCGTCTAAATTTCATTGGTTCTCACCATGACTTGCGAAAGATCTAAAATTATTTCGTGAACGAAGAAAATGGTTATTCCGAATGTTAATTGACTTTTTCAATTGTTTCAGGTCGGCCAATTGTCAAAGGCAATGGGATTTCAAATCAATTCGCAGCAAATGAATTTCCACAAGCATTTTTGTTGGGAGCGTAAGTATTTTTCGCCCTATTCCATTTCATTTTTCTATTTCCCACTTCGTTTAATCGCATACATTTTGAGTACGATGTAGGATCGGTTTGTTTCGCCCGGGAAAATTCGATTTTTTCTTTCGTTCAAAGAAGTTGTGCTAATAATCGAACACATTTTTTGGAACCTTTGTTGGCAAAGTTGCAACAAAAATCTCACATGCGAGTCAGCATTTCTAAAAGCGCAAAAAAGAAACGATATGAAATCAGTGCTTCCGAAAAATTGTTAATCACCAATCAAATTCTCCTTTCGTAGGAATAGTAATACCAACAGACCACCGCAATTCAATCTCGATCAACAGAGACAACAACAATTCCAACAGTTTCAGCAAGCTCAACAAGCGCAACAATTCCATCAAATGATGCAACAACACCAGATGATGGGCGGTCCACAAATGAGTAAGTTTTAAGCGATGAAAATAATTTGTGTTTTCTTCTTCGTTCATATATATTTTCGTTTGATTGAGGCGAACGATTTATTGCGGGTTCTCTCCTGATTTGAAGATCTTCAGTCAAAAATGTATATTACTAGAATTAGATAAATTTACGTTTTGTGTAAACTCTCGTTAACAAATAATCGTTCAATTTATAATGATCAGTTTTAAAGGGAATCAATCAATTGATTACAAAATCAAACAAACGACGGAATAATAATTTGCCATCTTCATTGTTCTCTCTCCCTCTCTCTCTCTATTTTTTACAGTGGTTCATAATGAGGTGCAACAGCAGCAACAACAACAACGAAGCAATGGAGATGGAACACTCTCGCCCACTAGTAACCAACTGGCTCGTTGGTTTTCACCAGAGCTCTTGGCTCAAGGTATATTTCAATTAAATATGCCAATTTTCTAATTCTACGTTGTACTTCAATGGAAAGTTTGATTTTAAATTGGTTTTCACCATTTTTCTCTCTCTCTCCCTCTCTGTATATTCGGAATCAGCATCTGCCGGGAAACTCCCATCGTTGGATGCAACGCAAGCCCTTAGCTTGGAAGAATTCGAACGAAATATGCACTCATCCACCACCGTGAACAATTAGCAACATACACAGAAACGTGTGAGAGCAAGATGAATAGAGGAGAGATGAAGCATTGAGTCATGAAGAAAACAAAAACTCATGCTCGACAATTAAAAAAAGGAAATAGAAATAAACAATAAAACATAATTCAAAGCAGAAAAAACATCCAATTGTCTGTATGTTTTCTATTTTTTTAAGAATTTTTTTTTGACTTTTTAGACACTCATAATAATCAGTATTTATTATTGGGGAAAGAGGGGGTAATCTGGGACACCACTCATTTCTCGCACTAGGCAATACTAAACGTCAAAACGAACATATACGTAAGTGTGCATTCGGCAATCATTCGGCACCGTCTCTCTCCTCAGTCTGCTACATGCTGCGCTAAAGCACAGTTTGTGTTTTCACCACTTAACGAAACGATTTTCTGTCTCCATTTTTGCATTTCATGTATTTCACGTCATATTTAAGGCATACCCGTGTGGAAAAGAAAATGACTGACTAACCTTAGATTCAGTTGACTGTAGTTGATTGAATTTATGTTTTTGTTTGAAGAAAATCACTTTGTCCCAAAATAGGCAATTTATTTTAACTCGTTAACTTTGATAGACTTAAATTACACGTTGTACTGAAATGTCAATCAAAGTAAGTCATTTTTGTCCGAAATTAGTTAACTGACTGGTCAGTTACAATATTCGCACACGGGTACAAACAGTATTTGTCTTCACATTTATAAAACGCCATCCAAAAATAGGCACCGAAATCAAATGAAACAGCAATGTCAAGCGGACCAAAATCAGCTAGATGGTATCAAATTTTTCCAGAATACCCGAAGACTCCAATGACGTAGTTCACACAGAGAAAATGGTTGAGATATTTGGTACAATTGATTTTTTTTCGTAAATATAAACCAAAAATTTGTATGGAAGAAAATAATTTTTTTCTTAGATATCTCAATTTTAAACAAGACTCATTCATCCCCTGTACATGATCAAACCATCTCAATCTAGACTTTCTTACAGCCTCATCAATCGAATCCACATTCAAATCTTTACGAATTCTCTCATTCCTAATTCTATTCTCCCACTGGTCCCTACGCGACACTCCAGAAATCATACGCAACTCTTTCATATCATATGCCTCAAGATCATGGATTAAATCACTAGGATCGAACCAGCTCTCACTTCCATACAAGACAGTTGGCCCAAAGATTGACCGATGAATCATCAACTTAATCTCTTCACCCAATTCACCCTTATTAAACATATGCGATCTAAGTTGTGCAACTACCTTATTGCCATTCACCCTACAATGTTCAAATTCGTTGTTGAATTTCCTATCTTCTGAGGAAACACGCCCTAGATATTTAAACTCTGACACTTGTTCAAGCACACTACTATTCAAAATTCTTGATGAATAAAAACTGCTTTTGAAGCAATGTGATTCGATGTACGGTTTACGTTCTACAGGCGTTCAAATGTTGCCCATCTAGAGGCGGTTGTATGTATTAGAGGGTTAAGCGGTTGTCGTGTTATGAACCAGTATGTGCGCAAAAACGAAAATTTGACAAAATAAATTATTTCCTTTCAAAATTAGACTAGATATTTTTGATACTTTTGAACAATTTGATTGTTTTCTGATTTATGTCAATCGCATTTCCTGACTAAACCATAAGGAATCCAGGTTTATGCTTATGGAGAAAAATGAATGCACCAAGGGGTTAAACAATCGTTTTCCATTTTTAAATCATCCTGTTTTAAAAACCAATTATTTAATAATCTTCATTTGCAAACTATTTGCATGGAAAATAATTGTTATTCATTCCGAAATTTTAACATTGAAATTGGGCAATGCCTCGTACTTGGTGAACAAATAATTACACTTTCTATATCAATACAATATATTCATTTTATTCGCAGCAACAGCCACCACAGACGCCACAACAGCAACAACAACAACACGACGTGTTTCGAATGCAACAGAATGTTCCCATTCAAACCATGCACGGATTACCAATTCAAGGTATTCAAGTCATGTAAGGGTATGAACATGCAATTCTTACAGCAAAACAACTTCTTACCAAAGTTTGTTTGAAATTTCATTGGTTTCCAATTAAAACCGATCAGAGACTGCATATTTGCTGTTGAGTAGGCCTGAGCTGAGCTGAATTTGCTAACTCAGGTGACTGAAGCGGTATTTTACCACACTTACAGTGGTGAGTATTGTCATTTCTAGCTGAGAGTCACGGTTAAGCAAATTCAGCTCAGCTCAGGCCTACTCAGCTGCAAATATGCAGTTGAATCACTGACTTGCAAAAGATCTAAAATCATTTTGTGAACCGAATGTTAATTGACTTTTTCAATTTTTTCAGGTCGGCCAATTGTCAAAGGCAATGGGATTTCAAATCAATTCGCAGCAAATGAATTTCCACAAGCATTTTTGTTGGGAGCGTAAGTACTTTTCGCCCTATTCCATTTCATTTTTCTATTTCCCACTTCGTTTAAT